GCGAGTGGGGCGACCGCAGCCAGATTGCCACCATCGCCATGGCCGCCGGCCAGGACTACTGGTGGGTGACTCTCGGTGCCGCCGTCGGCCACGCTATCTGCACCGGCGTGGCTGTCATCGGCGGCAGGGCCGTCGCTGGGCGTGTCAGCCTCAAGGTTGTCACTGTCGGTGGTGCCGTCGCTTTCCTCGTCTTTGGATTCATCTACTTGATTGAGGCTGTCTGGGGCTAAGTCGCTTCACAAGACTTCTTCTCCCCCCTTCCAACCGACGATTCGTTTCGAAACCCTCCCCAACCCCCCAAGAAGACAAGCCGCTTCAGCTCTCAGCTACCCCCGCTTACACACGTTTTCTACGCATCTCTCTGTTGTAATGTCTCAACTGGCAGAGCCGTACCCTTCCTCTTCATTCCACCTCCTCGGCCTCTACGCCATTTTTTCTCCTGATCTTCTTCCTCTTCTCCTCTCTCTTCTTTCTTTTCAGGCATTATGGTGTTGCTGGAGACGCGCCTGAAGTTGATGGGGAGAAACAAAAATGTTTATGTTAATCAAACCCAGAAAAACAGTATTCCTGGTCACTCGGTGTATGGTTAGGGAGTTCTTCATGTTCCTTTTTTTATAAAAAATTGTATACTATCATGGGTTTTTATTTTATTTCTTCTTCTTTGCGCCTCTGGGCCTTTTTTTGTTTTGTTATTGCTACGGTCTGGCTCAGGGGAGTTCATACGATCGGGTAGGGGCCTGATAAGGGTATCATATAACAAGGAAAAAGAGGGAGTTAGACACTAGATGATTGTGTATTGACTTTGTTATTGATGTTTCCTATAACGTTGAGACGTTCCCTGGCTTGGATCGCAATGTATAGTCGACTGGGCGACATATCTCGAAATAGTGTTGGGAGCTATACCTTGGCCCATGTTTTCTAACCATTTATGACGGTCTTGCAGTATCAGCAAGTACCAATACGCATAGCAGTACGCATACTGCTACCCCCTGAGAGTTGCTAAATGTGGGTTGGTGCTCTTTGCTTTACCCCTTGATATGTATGTACTCGACAGTCATGTGCCGCGTTGCCGTCCAGATGGTGGAGGCAGTGTACGTAGACGTACGTTATCCCGCCCTCGCAGTTACGTGTACCCATGCAGAAGCTCACTCTTCCACACAAACCCAGAGGATTCTCGGCTAAGTGCATGATAATACGTTTCCCTTGCTGATGGTGTCCCCGACCCCCGTTGTGGTGGTGTTGTCGAATCCACAATGATCCGTGGACCGTAGGAAGTATGAGGGAGTAGGTCGAGAAGGTTTAACAGAAAGGAATAACGGACTACGTAGTAGAAGAAGAGCATCGCCTAGAGGGGCCGATGGCGGGAAAACAAGAGATAAAAGAGAGAGACGTGTCGTCGTCATCGGCCGTGGTCCGTAGCGTGGTCGTGGTGTCTACTACTGGTAGTATCCATCTTCTAGCTCATACGTGGCGAGGGAGCCAAGGGGAAGGAAAGATCTAGAGTAGAAGGACCAGAAAAGGTAGAAGCACCTCTATCCTGTTCCACATTAACTTACCCGTACTGCCTGTCTACGGGGCTATGTTTCCACCATTACGTGTAAACGACACCGACAAGTTCCCGCTGTGCGTGGAATCAAGCTGTACTCGCTGAGCCTCTTTCTGATATGAGTTACGACGTACGTAGACCGGTCACATCACTTCCCTCTTGGTTAACTGTTAATGTCAAAGGTGATATTGCAGAGTATGGAGGTGTGCAGTCACGCAGGGTGGGAAGGAGACGGGAAATTGGAGAGTTGATAACAATGCCCCATGGATGGTAAGAGTCGGCGGTGCTCACATGTAACGGACAGACATGTATCTCATTGAAGGAGTCCAAAGTAATAGACAACAACGAGATACGAGTGAGTATTAATAGTCGTAGTTACTCTACAGAGGCTTGGTATGGCAACTAACCCGCATGCAGTACAGATTGCCAGATATACATATGGTCCCACGGTTCATTGTAAGCAGGTACTAGGTAGTGTTGCTTAGCATTGGCAACCGGAAGAGATACGTACTCTTGATACTAGCAAGGAAAACATGACGAGGTTGCATATGGTTACTTCCGGGAGATTAACCCACCCACCTCCCCGATGGTCCGATCAGCAGCCAGCGAGGATGCGAGATGCTGGTTTCCGCGGGACCGTGAAAGGTGGACATTGCTACTACGAGTATGGTACTGTTACTACCTGTATTACTCCGTACGTACTCTCCGTTCAGTAGGAATAAGAAAATTGCGCAAGGCAAGGATGTATGGAAGGCATTGCAATCTCGTCAAAAGGAGCACGGGGCCATGTTCATATTACTCTAGTATTATCATGGTCAACATCATGCTGTCCCCTTTCCCTCGAAGTGGGTGCGCCAAATCTCTCACTCCATTGATCTTCTCATCCTACTTCCTCTTCTGTTCCTCTCACCATTGTAGGAGAAGAGAAGGCATCCGAGACAGGGCCAAGAAAAGCGGGAAAGGAGAAGAGAAAGGAAAGAGAGAGAGAAAAAAAAGAGACAGCAGATGCTGACTTGTTCAGTTGCATATCCCAGGGTTGACCGCATTCTGGAACTACCAATCGAAAGAGGGAAACCAGGAATATCGCATGTTGATCAACTGTCCTTCACCCCCCCCTTTTCTTCTTCTACATGACAGTATTGATAAGTTCAAGGGGGGGGGGAGAAGTGGATTTCCTAGTTGAGTAACTAGGAGTTGAAACCAAAAAGAAGATGATCATGATAGAGACGAACACGCGTGCACCACCAGCCGACAACCCTCTTCCCGACAGAAAGACTCGAAACAAGCAAGAATACTAATAGAATGGCCAGCTTTGCCGGACCGTCGTCAGCGTTGTCCCAGTTTCTCCAACCTCAAACAGGGCAAAGGCCGACCGACGACGCACAAACACACACACACGTCCGTGCTGGCCTTTCTCTCTCTCCCTCTCCCTCTCCTCATCATGCATGGTCCGTACAAGGGGTCCCACCGGGTCTCCATGTACCCCATCAAATGACTATGCAGTGAGCCAATCGTGCCAAGAATGGTGGAGAGAGAGGCGTGGATGGCGTTGCAGAGCAGGGGGAGGGGGGCCGGGGAGCGGATTCAAGCTTGACGTTTGCACTTTGGTGTTGTCGTACTCGTGCGTACAGTTTCCGTGAAGGCAGTACGGATACTACTATCAATACTAGGTGTTGGTCTGTATTATTCCCATCCGACAACGGGCATCCATTCCCCTGCTCCGTCTCCCCATCGATCCCCGTCTCGAGTAATATGTCATGTATATTTTTATTTTATTTCGTTTTTATTTCGTCTTGGACGGGTTGCAGAAATGCGTTGAATTGCAGGGTCATTTTTTCTCTCGACATCTTTGCACGTACTTGTACGGCTTAGAAGATTACCGGGATATGGGGAGGAGGAGGATGAGGAGGAGGGGTATGATGGAAACAAAGAGAAGGAGATATTGAGCAATTGTTGGTAATATGGCGTAATTCCCCTCCGGAAGAGAATTTTTTTTTCCAGAGTAAAAAGCCATGACAAAATCCGTCACAGAGACGTCGTGCGAGATCCGCCGGTTTTGTTACTTGGATGCTGATTCTGTCTCGGGCAGTGCATCATGACACTTGCAACCAACGTCGGAGACCGGAGCACGCCATCGCGGTACAGAACCGACACCCTATTCGCGCTGTACATGCAACTACGACGGGTACCACTACAGGTAAACTCGGGAGGCCGCGGCTGCTAATTCTGCTAAGGGCTAGGTGATGAATACCTCGCACATGGGCCACGGAGGTATTATGAAAAGGTATCAAAACCGGTACGTACATTTGCTGCTCTGCCAGTAATACTCGTAATATTATCACTCACCCGCAGACTCTGCTCCTCTCACCCGTTTAACCGTGCAGGCGCTTGTTCGTCATGGAGGGGCAGACACTGACGACGACGACGACGGCCAAGGAGGGGCGGGCGACGCGGCCGGCGCTAAGACAAATTCGGATCGTTCTTGACAATTTTTTTCTTCTTCCGTCTGCACTTGCGCCGGCCGCGACTTCCTTCGATAATATTGCGATTTCGCAATCCTCGGGAAGTGTGCGTGTGTATGTGTGTGTTGTGCGTCTTACTCACCGTCATAATCGGACAATGCAAATGATGTTCACCTACACGAAGAAAGGCCTGCAAAATGTAGAAAATGGCATTATTATATATGCTATTAATAACACTACCAATACGCCGTAATATCTCCCCTCCTCCCTTACATGGAACAAACGTGCGCGACGTACCGACGTATTCTACGTAACCAGGGGGGGTTCCTTCCCCCTTCCTGGCTCCTCGGGGGGCTCCTTCTGGATGGAGGGGTGAGCAAAATGGAAAGGAGGGGGGGGGGGGGAGGAGGGACCCGTTGCTGAGGCACCTACCTGCCTTGTCCTGACGGGAGTCCATCCTTGACCGCAGAGGGCTGCTTTTAGCTGTACCGTACTCGTACATGTAGCAAGTATTATTGTTCCTCTATTTTGCTGCAATAGTTGTATTACTCGTGCAAGATACTCGTAGCCAATGTTACTCCATCTAGGTACGAGTACTCTATGCGAGTATTCCGTACTCCGTACCGCAAGCGTATCTGGTTGCCGGTTGTTGGAGACGCTAATATTCGATTTTTAACTATTTTAACCTGTATCGTCCTTGGGTACATGTACCCTTCTCCCCCCCCTCCCCCCAATACAATTAACCCTCCTCCTTCTTTTCCTCCTCTTTCCTCTTCTCTAAATCATTGTCATCCTCTTCTCTCGAGAATACCTATTCCTTCTTCCTTTTTGTTCCGTCAAGTCCCTGTTGTCCTGCGGCTCTGTCGTCTACTGTGGTGCGATTGCGTGTATCTACGTCACGCCGTCATAACTACAACCTTGCCCTCATCTCTGCTTCTTTTTTCCCTTTTTCCTCTTCCCTCGTCGCACACACTCCCGACAGATACTTCACAATGGCCAACGCTCCTCACGGCGGTACCCTCAAGGACCTTTTCGCCCGCGATGCCCCGCGCTCTGCTGAGCTGCTCGCCCAGGCCGAGTCCCTCCCCACCATCACCCTTACCGAGCGTCACCTTTGCGACCTCGAGCTCATCCTCAACGGTGGTTTCTCGCCTCTCGAAGGTTAGTCCATGCCGATGGATTCCTCTAGTCAACGTACCATCTCCTCTCCGGGGAAATCCCCCCCTTCCACGTTGGGATGTCGCTGTGGTGGAGGTCGAGAAAACGTAGCGGGGGCGAGGTAGGAGAAGGAGGGGTCGGAAAACGCGCCTCTTGTCTCTTCGCCTCTCTCCCACATACGCCTTGTCGAGAGAGCCATTTTTTTCTACTCGTTCGCGTCACAGGTTACAAAATGACGGTGAGCTGACTCGGATGAAAACGCAGGTTTTATGACGCAGAAGGACTACGACAGGTACGTTTCGAAGAACTTTCTTTTCCTCTCCTAATCGTTTGGGG